CCCAGAGCCAGCAGCAGCCTCACCCAGGAGCCTGGATCAGCCTCTCCTGCCCCACACACCACAGCCTTGGAGACTGTGCTTGGAGACCCTGGATAAGAGCAGGGGCTGATGGTGAGAGCGGGGTCTGATGGTGGGAGCAGGGCCTGGCACAGACCCAGCACCTCCCAGCACCCTGGAGCAAAGGGCTGGGCCAGCCCTGCCAGCAGTGGGACAGCCCCTGGTCCTGGGGCAGCACCAGCAGCCGGAGCCTCTGGGATACTCTGGACAGCCCCACACCCACCCTCTGGAGAGGCCAAAAGGACTTTCTTGGCCCAGACATCACCTCCTTGCTTAGCTCACACCAGGGAGCCTTCCCAGGCCCGCAGCAGCCTGGGATGCCAGGTAATGGGGCTTGCTATCAGGAACAGCCTGGGCTCTTCAGGCCCTCCCACCTCCTTCAGTAACAACACAACAGGCTGAAGTTTGTCTCACTTTTATTTACATAATTGCACAGCCCGTTTCCCCATGACACTGGAATGTGGGAGGTCACAGACACTGATCTCCCACATCCACGAGCTGAACGTCTCCTCTGGGAAGAAGACCCCAAGAGTCACTATTGGGTTTTGCAGGGGCACAAAAAACAACTCCAATTATTGGCAACTACAATAAAGACAACAAAGATGAGGGTGAAGCCGTGGCTGCTCAGCAGCACAGGGCCAGGCCCCAGCTGCCCCCAGCCAGGGACTTCTGGCTTTCACAGTTGCATATTTGGATCAACAGTGGGTTTCCAAACTGAAACACTGGCTCCATTAAGTCCTTACTAGGGGAAGGCAGGTGTGGGAGTGCACATCCTTTGTTACCTACCACAACTAGATGTGTTGCAAGACGGAGCTCCTGGGAGGCAGCCAGGGCTGGGAAAGTTAAACTAAACCCCCAAATTTTCCTTCACTGAGACACAGTCCCTGGTGACACAGGGTTTGTTGGGGAGGCGCTGAGGGATGGGGGAGGCAGGACAAGGCACAGAGCAGTGGCACAGGGCTCACTGCTGAGGGCAGGGGGGGCAGTGCCGGCGGGAAGCACCACGGGGAAGCAGGATGTGCTGCAACCACAACTGAGCTGGGCTAGAGAGGCCCCTCTGCACTACAAGGCTCCAGGAGCTCTGGGGGCTGAGTCCCTCCCACATGGCAGGGAAAAGGGAAGGTGTCCAGGGGCACATTGCAGAAGGGAAGAGACAGGCAGGGTGGCTGTCAGAGAAAGGGGAGCCAAGATACACAGCATGGCTGCAGCAGAAAACAATCACCTCGTGATGAAACGAGATACTCATGCTCAGAAGAGAGACCAGGTCAGACCAGTTCTCAGCTGGGCAGAGAGAGGCTGCTGCAAGACGTGCTGGGCTACCAATGAGGTACATGAGAAACCTGGGGCAGGAGATGAAGGACAGAGCAGCCACAGGCCCCAGGGCTGGGAGAGAGCACTGGGCACTGCTGCTCCTGCCACCGGTGACTTCCAGCCTAGGGTCAGGGAACAGGGGACACAAAAGGAAAAGCATCCTGCTTTGCAGCTAGATAAGGAATGACACATTGTGCTTTGAATTCAAGAAACTACAGGTCTCAGTCTAACAGGGCATGATCCACTTGATTGATCCACTTGGGTCCAGGGGACATGCCATGTGACTACCAGCACATGCTGCAGGGACACAGGTCCCTTGGAGTCCCCCTACCTCAAATGTCCTTGGGGTCCATTCCACCCACGGGGCTCAGGACAGCACAGCACCAAGCCCAGACATGGTCTGGCAGGGTGGGGAGGCAGCAGAGAGGAAAGGACTACAGCCAAACTCAGACTGGGCACACCAAGACAGGGGTTCGTTAGCTGGATGTGCTGAAGGATGAAGGAGGAGGAGGAATGCCAGCCCCACAGGAGAAAGGGCCCAGAGCCTGTTCTCTGGGAACCAGTGAACTTGGGGTGTTTCACTAGAAGACACCTAACAGGCAGCGTGTTCCGGGATGAACCAAATCACAGCAGCTCCTCCAGCTGCTGCCAAGGAATGTGCAAATAAGGCGCAGAGACAGCCCAGGCCTCCTGTGCTGAGCACGGCCTGTCCCCCCAGGGGTGTCTGTGACTGACACTAGGAGAGGTCCAGCCTCAGGATGGGGAAAGGTATCAGCAAACAGAGACTCCAACTCTCACCTTTTGGGGTCAGGAAAGTTCCTTTCTGAATCTTTTAAAAGCAAAAGGCAATGGTGGGTTTAGCCAGTATGAGCCATCACTGCCCACCCTCAGATCCTCCATCTACCTTTGCCAGACATACCAGGAGCTGAGTGCATCCGGGTCCTGGGGACAAGCCAGGATCTGCAAGGAAAGCATTTTATGAGATCACGTCTGCACAGGAAAAGATTTTCTCATTTTGAAACTTCTTTTGAAATTCTCAAAATTACAGTACTTCACAATACAAAATATCTCCATTCAGTATTACATAATTTTACTCCTTCTGAGATTATAATAATTATTAAAAACACACAACTTTCTAGAAAGGACAGAAACACCACAGAAGAGACCAAAAAGTAATGGGAGAGGCTGCTGCAGTATTATCAAAACCAATTTAGTGCAAAGAAGGGGACTTTCAGAACAGCCAACAAAAAGTGTTCTTTTGGAGAAAAGGCATAGATTTAACCTCTGAATGAGATCAGGCTGCCTGCTTCTATACTGAAGCTTAGAACATCAAAACAAAAGGACTGAAACACAATATGCATGGCCATTAAAAAATAATATTATATATAGATAGATACATATATATATATATATATGGAGATATTTTCCAAGTATGGTATTTAGTTAGAGGAAAGTGTCCCTGCAGACAGGTGTGTTCTGCCATCTGGCTCTTTTGGGCCATTTCACATGCCGAACATTGATTCTCTGTCCACTTGCCACAGCATAAAGCACGTGCTGACCACCAAGTCCTTCGGGGTGGGACGATTGCTTTAGTGCCACCAGGGCCACGTTCCCTGCGCATGCAGGGACACCGGGTCCCCTCTGCTTCTGCCCCGGCCCCGCACCCACGGGGAGCAGCGCCCAGGGATGGCTCACACGGTGGTTTCATCCGCAGTCTTCTTCATGAGCTTGGCTGAGAGCAGGGAGTGGGGCACGGGGTGAGGGCTCCGCGAGGCCGGGATCATCAGACGGACTTTCTGGTTGGTCCTTCTCCACTCTGAGTACAACTGGCAGTGGTAGCGGAACGAGACCTGGCGGGCGATAACGCACGGGCTGGTTACCAACCCATCACAGGGGGCAAGCTCAGAGAGGTCTGGGGAGGTGGTCACTCAACTGCCCTCTACGTGCTCTGCTCACCCATCTGCTCTCTCTATATTCCTTGTCATGCCTCCCTAGCCAAGGGAGGCAGCACTGACCATGAAACAGCTTGGGGCACCCCAGGTCCCACACCTCTGATGAGGAATGAAGGAATTCCTAGTAACACCAGGCTGTGCATGGTCCAGCTAAAGGGGCCTTCTTGGCAGCACCAGGCAGAGGGACAGGGATTGCTCAGCTGGGTTTGGTACCAGGCTGGTGAGATGTGGCAGGGAGGAACCACAGCTCACCTCCTCACTCTGGTCATGGGCTGAACTCAGCCCCTAGTCTAGGCAAAACGAGGGGTTCTCAGCAGGACCAGCCTCAAGTGGCTAAATCTAACCAGCCTCCTATCTCACCTATCCTGGTGGATCTTCTCTGCCCTTTGCAAAAGCCTTCTCTCCCTGGTCTGCAACTACAGCACATCAGTTGGCCTAATTTTTTCTGGCCATGCTGTGGCCTGGGAGACTTAGGGCATTCGGGGGGAGACGAGAGGATGCCAAGGCTGGAGGGGACCCGTCCAGCCTGACCCAGAGGAATGTGCCTGCCCTGCAGTTCCACAGCAACGCTACAAGAGGGAGCTTTCAGCTGTGCTTCCCCGGCGGGCTGGGCTCCTTGCTGTGTTCCTTCACCGTTAACACCACTACAGATCTTCTCCCAGCTCCTGCTGATTCCTTAGCTTTGAAATAAAACTTCTCTAGAATTTCTTGAGGAAGGACTAAAACCAGCAGACATTTCCCTCCTATTGATTTTCCTAGAAATTGCAAGCAAGAAAATGAAATACTGAATCTAGGCAGCCACTCATCAAAACCAGGCTTTTGTACTTTGTAAAAGTACAGGAACCATTTAGCTGGCAAGTAGGAACTACCAGAAGTGTATCTGAGAAGGAAAAGTTGGTGTTCCTGGTGCTTTTGGGTAGGTCTCAGACACCTGCTATGAGAAATGGAGTCGTGCCGCAGCATCGAGGTAATTCGGCTTATTGAACACTTTTTCCTGGTGTAGTAACAACTGTGGGAATAAGGCTGTTTGCTCTTGCAGCCTTGGGAGACACTGTGTGAATGGGGAGATATTTATGCAAACCTCAAGGAAAACTCCTGCTCCACATCAAGCCACACCTTGGCCAGTGTGATCCTCACCCTGATCACAGCCATCACCACCCACCCATGGAACGGGAACTTTGTGCCCATGGCAGCATGGGATAACTGCACTTGAATACAGTAAATGTGGACAAAGGGGCTTCACTTTATGTCTTTCTCTGCTCAAGGAAATGTGAAGCACAGTAGAACTAGATCCATTTTAGTCAGGACTCATTCTTTCACAAAAAAACATTTTTACACTTACTCCAGAATTCCAGCTCCTCCAGATCAGTCCTGGGACAACAACAGCAGCCCTTCCTCTTAATGTTTCCAATTTCAGCTTTGCTTTCTACAGAAATAACCCTAAGCAGCAGGTACATGCAACAGGGGAGACTTTCCTCAACACTTCCCTGCGTGCTGTGTTGCATGCTGCTGGCATCACCTATGAACCACCCTTGCTGCAGGCAGCCTGCACAGCAAAGGCTGCAGCACCAACTCACACTCCCCTGGCACCCGAGTCCATGTGGGAGAGTTGCCAGGAATGTCCTAAGCCCAAGGAAAGCTGTTACTCAGAGGTCAGAGCACAAGATGGGAGGGAAATGGGCTGTGGCATTTCTAGTGCCCACAGCACTGCCAGCTTTTTGGGGGTTTAATATTTTTCCTCCAGTAACTGCACTTCCTCCCTTCCCAAAGTAGTGCTGCCCACCAAGCAGCTGGAAAAGGGTATTGACAGGACAGGGGCACACACAGGGCTTTTACAGGTTGGGAGAGTTGGGGTGTTCAGCCTGGAGAAGAGAAGGCTCCAGGGAGACCTTAAGAGCACCAGGAAAGCTGGGGAGGGGCTTTTGACAAGGGCAGGGAGTGATGGGAGGGGGGAACAGTTTAAAGATTAAAGATGGGAGATTGAGATTAGAATTTAGGAAGAAATTCTTTCCTGTAAGGGTGGTGAGACCCTGGCCCAGGTTGCCCAGGGAAGCTGTGGCTGCCCCATCCCTGGCAGTGTTGAAGGGCAGGTTGGATGGGGCTTGGAGCAGCCTGGGCTGGTGGGAGGTGTCCCTGCATACTGCAGAGGCTGGAACTAGACGAGCTGTAAGGGGCCTTCCAATCCAAACTATTCTATGATTCCATGACTCTAACAGGAATGCTTTTTTTTTAGCTCAAGTCCAAAAGCCACACTACAGGACATAAGTCAGGTCTCCCCATGGCCAGAGTGTTTCTTGTACAAGTCCTTCTGTGCTCCTGACATCTTAAAAATACCGTGTAGGAATTTTTTTAGTTGTGGGCCACAGAGATCCCCAAGAACCAGTGTGCACGTCCTTTGGGCATGGCCAACCTGTGCTGGGCAGCACAAAGCATGGAGGGATAGGATGGCAGATTATTTAGGGGTCAAACATTTTCCAGATTTTATTTTTCCCCTAAACCACCTGGGTACCAAGTTTGTGTTTCTCCTTGAAAACAGGAACGGGCACAACCCCTGGAGCACTGCCTGGCCAGCACCAGACCTTGAGCATGTCTGCACCCGGGTACATGACACCCCAGGGAACACAGCTCGTGTGTCCATCTGGAAGGCAGATGATCAGGAAGTGGTTTCTTATTCTCAGCAACAACTTTAGCGGCTTCCATGTGAAGATAATTAAATGGACATTCAAGAGAAGGAGCCCAAGGTTTTCTCACAAGGGGAGTCAGAAATGCTGGCTGCACCCATGTGGTGCAAACCACAGCTTGGATCTCCCTGTGGACAGAACCAGGCCCGGGCAGCAGACACTTACCAGTGTCCAAAGGACGTAGATTGTGAAAAGTGCAATAGTCAGTGCGATGAGGCCGATGGCCTCCAGCCGGCTGTTGAACTGCAGGTGATCCTGGGCCCCACGCAGACACAGCCAGCCAGAGATGGCTGCCAGGGGAGTAATGAACAGGAAACACACCATGTCACAGAAAAGGGTCCTCTTCTCATTGCGCGGACCGGGATCCTTCAGCCACTGCAGGAAGGAAGGGAGACAGGGCATTAGCAGAGCACACGACGGGCTGGTGGGACAGGGCAGCTGTGCTGGGAAGCTCTGACATCTCTGGCACCTCTCTGAGGTCTGCATGTACCTGGTGCATGCACTTAACTCACATAAACCTTCACAAAAATAGAGCTGGAGAGCATCAAATGTTTTTTTAACAACCAACAAGGGAAAGGAGGAGACAACTGAAGCATATCTGCAGGGGTAGGCAGTAGGAAATACAGGAGCTGACTGGGCTCTTTACTGGAGCAGGGAGGAGCAGCCAGCAGAGACAGGGAGGTTGGTGCAGTAAAGCCTGGCCTAGGAAAGATCAAACAGGTCTTGGACTGAGTTTCAGTGGAAACATACCGAGGACTCTGCAGCTGGTGTACGGGCTATGGGGCACTGGGGAACTGTGGTCTGTGGCCAGGCCTAGCCACAAGGGCAGCTGTCCCAAATCAAGCCCTCTGGTTCCTTTTGAATAATCACAGGGTTTTAGCATTTTCCTCCTGATTTATATAAAATACGAAATGTCCAGGTTCACCTGAAAGACTGTGCAAGATAGCTCTGCAGCAGTGCTCTCCAGGACACAGCTGGAGTGGGGCTAGTGTGATCCGCAGCACTGCTGCTTTGGGGTGCCCTGCAGGGCCCTCAGCAGGGAAGGCAAACACCCCCACACCTGGTATGAGCACTGAGGTGATGACAGAGGAAAACAGCCTGTCACTTCAGCAACAGAAACAAGGCTGTTTTTCCCTTGAGGGGAAAAGAACAATAAAAAAGCAAGAAGAAAATGAGTAACTTGCAGAAAGCTGTGCACCTGAGCAGACAAAGCAGGAGAGCACCCAATGGGCCTTGGTGCTGCTGGGGAAGGAAAGACAAACCCATTTTCTTTTACAGAACAACCTATGCCCAAATCTGCATCTTTCTCACTGAGAAAGCATTCGGCCATTTCTAAAGAGAAAGCAGCACATCTGTCAGGTGAGGAGGGACACCAAGCTCAGCTGGGTGGGTAGAGCCTCCACTGCTTCCTCTCAGATCTCAGTGGATCACAAGTGACCATGAAGGGACAAGAGAGCATCACACAGACATAGCTGCTGAAGACTCCGCCTCATGACTGCAAAATCCCATGGCCTTTCCAGTGCTAGTGGTCACCTGCTGGCCACCACAGTGCAGGCAGAACAGACCTGCCAGGACCAGGGCAGAGCAGATTCTGGTGTATTCCTTTCCATTTGCTCTCTTGCTGCATCGTGGTGGGGGTTACAGCACTTTGCTCTGTGTTTCCAAGAGGCTTTGCAAGTTCTCTTTCGCAGCTCTTACAAACCAGCAGCTTCTCTGTGGCTGGCAGGTTTCCCTCATCAGGCAATCTCTAAACATTTAAGGAGTCTGGACTTGCTTCCACCATGGGTTCATTTTAGATACTTGACTTTGACAGCAGCAATTGTTCTAGTTTTCCTGGGATGATCATCTTTTCAGCCTTTCCCTTCCTTTTTTTGGAACAGCAAGCAGCTATGGTTCCTACCAATACCCAGAGTTGTTACAGCACGTTTTTTTCTGGGAGTTGTGTGTGCTGGGCTGCTGGATCCTTCCTTCTTTCCTGCATGAGGATGACTGGTCTCATTTATGATTTGATTTTTCTCCAAAAAATAATAATTGGAGAACGTGATTGAAAAGGCACAGTCAGCATAGGTGTCCTGGTTTGAGCCAGGATGAAGCCAATCTTCCTTTTACTGATTTTTTTTTCCTTCAGCAAGCTTTCTTTGAATGAGCACCAGAGTGTTCCAACTAAGGCTGATAAGAGAGGAATGTTTCTCTAACTACTGAGGCTTCAAGGTGGCACCTTCACTCTGCCGGCTCAGACGCTACAGGGAGATCTCTGACCCCCTCGCAGGAGGCTGTTAGACAGACAGCAAAACTGGCCAGAGATATTCCATTCCATGTATCCACGTAAGCTCAGAGGAAGGACAGAGAGCACACAAGACAACTTCCTTCTTTTTTCTTCTTCCCTTCTCCTCCACCATGGCCAGTGCCTGCGGAGGCCTCCGTCCGTCCCTCTCCGTGGACCCCCAGGCTCCAGCTCTCCTGACCCTCATCACTCTGTGCTCTCTGGCAGCTCCAGAACTTTTTGGGAGTGTTCCCAGCTAAGGAGATGCTGTGGGAGTTACTGGGGGTAGGGGGAGGTAAGAGACTTTTGCTCATACCTGAACATATTTGTATATAATTGTATATATTTTCTTTTATCATTAGTGTTTAATTAAAGCTGTGTAGTTTAGTTTTCAATCCAGCCAAGTCTCTCTCTCTTTCTCTCTCTCCTTCCCTACCTGGGGGGGAGGGGATCGAGAGCATTGTTGTTGAACCTGAGTCAAAGGATGACAACAAGGAAGGGAATATCCCCGAGGCAGCCAGGGCCAGGCAGGCAAATCCCACTGCCAGACTCAGAGCAAGGTGCCAACTTCTGAACCGGCAGCATGAAAAGGGATCTGAGTCCTATGCACACAGAGCTCCTTCCCTACAGGGGAAACCACTGTTTAAATAGCAATACAGAAGGGTGGTGGCAGGTGTGCAGGGAATTAGTGAGGCCACACTGGTCAAAACAGCACAAGTAACCTGAGTTCATGGCTGGCTTGTATGTATACAAGTATCCAAAGGGTGGGTGCAAGGAGGATGGAGACAGGCTCTTCTCCATAGTTCCCAGTGTCAGAATGAGAGGCAACAAGCACAAGTTGGAACATGGAAAGTTCCAGTTGAACATAAGAAAAAACTTCCTTACAGTGAGAGTCACAAGGCACTGGGACAGGCTGCCCAGAGAGGGTGTGGAGTCTCCATGGATGCAGCCCTGTGTAAAGTGCTCTAGGTTATTCTACTTCAGTGGGAGAGTTGGACTAGATGATCTCTAGAGGTCCCTTCCAACTCTTGACAATTCTGTGATTCTGGCCAGAAAGGCAAGCAGAAAGTGTTGGCCCAGAAGGGATCATGGAAAGGGGCACACAGGTCTGAGCAGATTTAACTCCAGAGTCTGACATGAGGCATGTACAGCACGAGGCAGCAGGGGGATGAGGATGGGGTGAGAAGTGCAGACAATATTTGCTGAAATAGGAAAGGAAAGCAGGAGATGGCAAGTTCAGGCAAGGAACAGCAACATGCTGGGATGGTCAGAGCCCTGGCAGCAGCACAGGGAGCTCTGCAGGCACCTGTGATGGGACACTAGGCTGGCCCAGAACAGAGGAGGAAGCTGCAGCAGTGGAAAAGAGCCTGGCCAGGAACTTCAGCTGGGAGGACTGACAAGCAAGATATTTTAGATATATGACCAGAAGCATCTGAGAGACCCAAACAGAGCAAGAGCAAATGAAGCTAGAGAGCAACCTGGGAGCTGCAGAGCACAGAGCAACTGCAATAACAGAGGACAAGCATTTTTAAAGCCATTCTGAGCACAACTTGATGGCCAGAGAGAAATTTCAGAGCAGCCACAACTGTGGTTTGGACAGGAGGAGCTGGCAGAAGGGAGGCAGACCTGCAAGTCACCCCTTGTGTGGTTTCTCTGCAGATGAGATTAGTGCTGATGAGCTGTGCGGGGAAGATAAGGACCACACACACAGTCCTGAGCAACCTAAGAGGAAGTGAGGGTGGACAGCAAGTCATCTACCCAGTAAAGCTGCTCCTACAAACACGGCAGTGGCAGCTCCACCATTCAAGGCCCTGGCTGTGTGCCTGGCTTTCCAACCAGCACCCAGCTGCCCCAGCTATTCAGCACTCAGGTGAATGCTGAATTACCCTGACTGGACCTACAGCAGCAATCCCAGAACACACCATTCCCCTAAGAAGACATCTTGATTCACTTTTGACCCTTATACAATAAGAATCTCAGGGACTGAAGGCATGTGTGTATTTTCATGCATCTTATTCTATTTATATTCCTTGTGACCTTCAAAACTCCTTCTTCCTCCCTAAAATGGGAATCAAACATGTAAAGGCAGGAAGCAAATTAACTTCCTTTTGAAGTAGTTGATGTACTTTCCCAATATCCACTGACACAGTAAAAAAAAGAATACAATAAGCCACCCTAAGGGCACAGGGTTTCTGGCAGAGCAGCACACTGATGCATACAGGACTCAAAATAAACCTTGCAAACAATCAAAAAAGTGGTTAGTCAGATTAAACAATTTTTATAGGAAAAACTACTCAGTAAACTTGGGAAAGCAACAAAAGAACAACTTGGTCTTCTCCCAGGCAAAGTCCAAAACCCAAGTGCTTCCAAGCTGCAGGGAAACTAAAGGGAAAGGGGGAGAGCTGGCTGCTTGCTGCCCTCTGTGACTATGAGCTGGGTCCCAGGACACTCTGCTGGAAATGATGTTACTCTGGGTACAACCATTTTTCTTTGTCCTCCACCAGGACCCTAAGGCTCTCCCAGATGTTCTTTCTACTGGCATCAGCAGGTTGTGGAAGGGCATTTGTTTCTTGGACTCACAGATTACAAGGATCTGACACTGCACCTAGGGAGGAATAACCCCATGTACAAGCTGGGGGGGTGACCTGCTGGAGAGGAGCTCAGGACAGACCACAAAGATGCTGAGGGGACTGGAGCATCTGCTCTGTGAGGAAAGGCTAAGGGAGCTGGGGCTGTTCAGCCTGGAGGAGACTGAGGGGGAATCTCATCAGTGCTTATAAGTATCTACAGGGGGTTTCAGGAAGACGGGACCAGTCTTTGCTGCAGTGTCCGGTGACAGGACAAGGGGCAATGGGCACAAACAAGAGGTTCAAGTTAAACATAAGGAAAAACTTCTTTACTATGAGGGTAACAGAGCCCTGGGACAGGCTGCCTAGAGAGGTTGTGGAGTCTCCATCTCTGGAGACATTCCAAACCCTTCTGGACATGTTCCTGTGAGATCTACTGTAGGTGACCCTGCTCTAGCAGGTTGGATGAGATGATCTTCAGAGGTCCCTTCCAACCCTGAAGACTCTGTGAGTCTATGATATTTGGGTGTTGCAGTGGCCATGAA